GGCCTCTCTGACTAGAAAAAAAACAGACAGAGACCAGAAGTGCTAATACTGCTTATTTTAGTTATAAGTTCTGAGATTAAAAAATTCCTGCATTATTACTCTGGGCACAGATATCCAATTAAGTAAGTTTGTTTTAGTTTCTTCAAGGTCGTATTTTTTTCTCTTTATCTGTCTTAAGTATAAAAATGCTTAAAAACTTAGGGAGAGGGAGGATTCCTTTGAACAGACAAGTGAGTGATTCCCTTGCTGTGTGGAATTCTCCCTGTATAGCCCTCAATAAAGAAAAGCTGGCTGGCTCTGTCAGTTCTGATTCAACCACAACACAAAGTTTGATTTCTTCCACATTACTAACATCACTGTTTATTTTATAAACTGCAGTTACACCTATGCAAACACGTTAAAGGCAAATAGGTTCCAAAGAGCATCATTTGAAGATTCCTGTCTGGGGCTCAGATCAATCAGGCCTGCCTGGGCCAAGCTCTCACCCTGATCTCTGGCTAATGTGACTGCCCCAGTTTTCTGCAACCAAATTTGGCTGCTGAAAGTGTCACTGAACGCTTCTAAGGACACGTGACACCACAGGCAGCAGTAACGCCTTGACACAGCCTTAATCTGCTCTGGCAGGGCCTCATGTTCACTGCCTTCTCCGATTCTCCTGGCTCCTGACTCGGCTTTGACTCTTCTTGACCCTGACTTAGTATCTCCCCGGGAACTCAGCGTCACCTCTCTGACCCCCTAGGTGCTCCTAGTGGCCTACTGAAAGCCTAGCCACCTATGTCCCTGCTGAACCCTCACAATAATGGGGTTATCCAAGTATCACATAACATGGCTAGGACCTCCACAGATGCTGGTGGTGTACATGAAATTGTGCTGGCAGTGTGACTGTTAGAGCCCAAGCTCATTCTGAATGCCAATTAGGGGAAAAAGCACAATTCTACTTGCAAGCTGAATACATTTAACCCAAAATGGGACTAGGAATGTGGACTCCAGTAATTCCAGTTTTTAAAAAAGTAACTTTTAAGAGTTGAACAAGGTATAAAAAATTCATGCTAAACTCCTTGATTTTTCAACACGGCTTTTAAAAGCGGATAAAATAAAATGCGTTTGAACATGCCAATATTGCTGAAATCTCCCATAAAACTCTGTTAATTCAAACATGCAAAAATTATGTACATACAGGTTTCCCTCAATTTATACTGTACATGCGTTCCTGGAAAACAGCGTATAACATGCATTTGCATAAAGGGAACCCACTTTCCAACGTAACAAATAGGGATACATTCCAAGACCTCGACTGTACTGACCCCCAGGCCCATTTCTACCACTTTTACAAAACAATTCTGGTACTCACCAACAGCAGACAGTACACACAAACACAGGGCACTATCATATTTGGGATGGCAACTACAGAAACACGTGTTGAAGACACTGAGTGAGGCACACAGATTTACACAGGAGACTATATTTTCGTGCGCGTCACTCCCACAATGCACCACACAAAGCAGCTAACTGCAGACTTCTACCACACTGATTGTATAACAGTGAATTTACCTCACATATAATGAATTTTTGGAATAAAAAGGGTCATCACATAATAGATAATTTGCACATACAGAACTCGCATAAAGCGAGGGAAACCTGTAGTATCCTTCCCATTAGTACCACCTGAACTTTAAGTACCCAAGGTGTCAGCTGCATGAGTCCCAGCACGCATTTCTCACTGAGAAAATAACAAGGAGAGAAATTAATACAATTCTGATTCTTTGGGACGCACACAAAAATACTTCTTCGGACTGGATATGAATCTAGCAGGTGTTTGAATTTACAAATATAGATATCTAGCAATAGCAACCTGAGACCCACCTGCAGGATTCTGTTTCATATCCTCCTCTCTCTGATCAAGGTGGAACTCTTAAAATATACATTAGACTATATTAAATACTTACATGGATTCATACATGCATTTCAGATTAAAGTATAAATATTTATATTGAAATGCAGCTTTGTACAGGTTTCTGTGTCAAGCCTCTTCCCTTGATTTTTGTTAAAAACAGAAAAATAAAAAAATCATCCATCCCCATCCCATCCATGAACTTGACTACCCCGCATTACAAGACAGATTAATCAAAGGTGGGGGGGAAGGGGAAAATGTGTAGCAGCCTTTTATTCAACTGTTGGAAACATACCATTGGTGCGGGTAAAACCTGTCTTTGTGATGTCACCACTGCTAGAGAAACCACCTGTTAACAAAAGTAAAGATCACATTTGACATCAGAAGAGCATGGGAGGTTGAAAGAGAAATCAAGATCAAGCTTGGCTGGGTCATCACAGCAGATCAATTCACATACGAACGCCAGAGACTGTTCCATCGTCAATCTACAAAAATGTCTCAGGCAGTTGACTGGCTAAACAGCCAGACAAGCATGTGTAAAGTAGACCTTTACAACCCAGAAGGACAAAAGGACCAGGACCATAAAGTGATCTGTTTTGTTGATGTCTCAAGCCTGAATGTGAAAGACAATGATCCAAAGGCAAAGAAAGCTGCAAGCCAGTTCAGCAACATCTCTGACCACTCAAACGAAATTGATCTGGAGGAAAAGGAGGTCATCGTAGTAAAGGACAATTTGAATCACGATCATTCTAAGACTCAAGGAACAGTTTGTCTCTTTAAGCAAGGTTCAACTGATGAACTTAGTGTTGTAAGCTGGCTTAACAACGACCTTCAGAAATATGCAGCTGGATTCCAACATGCACTGACCCCATCAGATAACCCTCAGAAGCACACAGGTAGCAACACTTCCATTAATCCATCACTGCCTAAGAAGATGGCCCAGGACAGTGACACATCTCTGCAGTTTGCTGGTGTTCGAAAAGGAAGCAAATATCCGGATGATATTTCATGCTACATAAATAAGCTGTGCTCACTAGTTATCCACTTGGCACGTAAAGAGATTACAGATAAGATAGAAGACACAGCCTTTAAGCCTCCGCAACAGGCAGTTCATAACTCTTCTGGTGAAGTGAAAAACAGTAATCCCCATTCTTCTGGGAACAATCCTGCAGAGACGGTGAATGAATCCCCTCAGGCAACTACACCAACCCCCCACGGAAAGCTACCAGTCCCCAAGGCACCTCAAGAGAAGGCTACCAAGAAACAAGATAATCCAGGTGACAAGAAAACATCACTTTTCTATGGTGAGCTGTCCAGTCAAAAAAGCTGCAATGAAGGAGAAACATCTTCAAATACGCAACTGTGTCAGCAGAACAAATACTCCAGGCAAGATGATTCGGGTACTTCTGTCAGCAAAGGGCTAATGGTTTATGCAAACAAGGTTGCTTCAGACATGGTGTTCTCATTCTTGCAGACCATGAAAGTTGAAAAGACGGGCAACAAGCACGTTCCAGCTTGCCTGGTTTTGAAGAAAGTAGTTCTCAAACACGCCAGAGATGTTATATCAGACTTGATAGATTCAGCAATGAAAAATCTGCATCGTGTTACAGGTGAGCTCATGACAGACTCTGGCTTTGTTGCCACAGTGAAGAAAAATCTATTCAGTATGGGAAGCCAGAAGTCAACTGAAATTTTGGAAGCTATGGTAAGAAGGCTTTATAATGTCCTTTTATCAGAGCCAGAGAAGTCCAGGACTCAAAGTCTAGCATATACCATACTGAAAGCAGGGCTCCCACCAGACTCAAAGTCTCAAAGCATGCAGTTTGCAGCAATGAAAAGTCAAACCGAGGGAAAAAATAAGGAAAAAGGTAATCCACTGATGCAGACCTGTGCTGAGAGAATAAGTGAGCACACACTCAAGGAAGGAGTCACAAGGCTGTATACAAAAACTACTTGCACAGCTCCAGATAAGGCAAAAGGGAGTCAAGAAAAAAATCCAGAAACAACCAGCAACTCAACAGAATCCCTAGCAAAAGACCTCATTTTGACTTCCTTAACATTAATACAACAGCACCTATTACAACAGACAAGCAAAACAACAGGCAAAGAGTGTAGTGAATCAGGTGCCGCTTCGTTTGGGTATGTCTCCCGCGATGCACATTTCGAAAAG